AGTTTGACCAAAATGGAAAGTGCCGCATGGGCCCAATGTGTGAAACTACAGTAAAAGGTTAAAGAGGAGAATGAAAATTAAAGGTCCCAAAAATGTGTTATTGTAACAGTTATTTGACAGATGGGGTACTTAAAGTTGAAAAAGAATGAGGGGATGATGAGTGGGTTGTGCAGGTGTGGTGACAAGAGAAAGTGAGTGTAGGAGTATTTGTAAGATACTGTGAGTGAGTGTGTGTGTGTGTGTGTGTGTGTGTGTGTGTGTGTGTGTGTGGATGAAAAAGAAACGAAAAATGTACTTGATGTACTGAAATTGAGAGAGAGCGGATGTATAGAATCTGTACTTGTTGAAGTCAGGAGGAGAAAAAGGTACTAGCTGCATTTCTCGCTAGCACCAAAGACTTACCTCTATTGTGTCACGGCTTGCACATGACACAATAGATGACCAAATGATGAGTGATAAGGAATGTCACATGCCGTCACATGCCATCACCCCCGTGAAAGGCAATGTTTTCCCGCCCCCGCTGCCAGCCAGGAGATTTCTCAGTGTTGGTCTTGTTCTTAGTCGGTTTCTCATGCAGTGCATTATGTAAGACTTTACAGTGGTAGGCTGTAAGTCTGTGCCACCTACCTAGGCTCGTACCCAGCCAAATCACCAGGTTTAATTTTGGTTACTAGCCGAAATTGTCTTTGAGCACACCCAGTGAATGGCTGGGACCGCTCATCATGATTTTGTGAGGAGGACAAATTCCTCACCAAAGATGAGGTGGAGACTTAATCATAGGGACTCAAAAGCCATAAAAAATTTCCCCCCAAGTTACTATACAAAAAGGCAATTTTGTAACTTGTAGAACATATTGAATATAGGAAATTTTTGTGACTTTTTTTGCAAGTGAACTTTTCCAGAAAATGGTAGTGACAGCAACAACCTCACCTCAAATTTTTCCAAAAAATATCTATTAACAAAAAATGATCTACTGGTTACAAAATTGCTTTTTTGTATACTACATTTTTGACATTTTTTTCTGACTTCTGGGTCCCTACGACGGAGTCACCAACCTCATCTTTGGTGAGGAATTCATTCTCCTCATAAAATGGCGACGAGTGGTCCCAGCCTGCTCGCAAGCTCGCAAATTCCTATTGGCAAATATGATAAGCGCGAGCTAGCCGAGCAGGTTGGGGACGAGCCTAACACCTACCCCCTAACAATAGTGGGTGAGGCACGTGATCATCGGTGAAAGGCAAGTGAAAGGCCCACTGTAGGCTTCAGTCACGTCGTGACGGACATTCGCAGGATGGTTCTTTGAATCCCCCAGTGGCTCCAACTTGCAGTCCATCATTATCATTCAATATCCAATCCTGTGTCCTCAATTTGTTACATCAGTATGTCAGAGGATTCGAGAGACCTGTCTCTTATCACAGCGCAATTCAGTTCCCTCGCATTTGAGCCTCGGGTTGAGGTAGGAGATGGACTTATACTACCTCCTGACTTCCAGCTCCCGTCCCTGGAATCAGTCCGAGCAGATTCAGCTACCTGTAAGTTGTGCAGAACTCGATATTTTGTGTTTACACTTCACTTATCAATCCTTCGAACAGTGGTAGATATCAGGTCAGGGATTCAACGTCCACACACAAACGAAGAGATTATCTCCGCTGTTAGAGCTTTACTAGTATGTAATGGATTGGATGAACCGCCGGGCCTGGGAAATATGGACTTGGAGCCAATTTACTATTATATAACACTGCCCAAACTTTTCAAATGGTCATACTTTGTTAAAATAGAAGATGGTAAGTTATAACGCCAATATATCAGAGTTAAGTGTGCGAACTGATGAGATTAAACAGTCCCAGGCGACCTTCAGGAGGATGCAATCTTTGCACTGAAGATGTTTATACGAGCTGTAGAAGAGTATCCAGAACCTGTGCCTCGTTTGCTGATAAACTACCCTCCTGGATCTGAGGAAGATTCTAAATACATTGTGGTGATTGTTATTTGCGTGCGGTTAAAATTTTCTAGCTGAATAGTTTTACTTCAGCTTTGCAATGCTCGCCGTAAGCTCTCGGAGTCCCTATTGTGCATACACACTCTCCTTGCTTTAGTTTTTCCTCACACATATTTCTAGTCATCCAAGGACCAACCGTCCGGCTGAAGCTGTACCATACCTAAAAGCCACTGTCGAGACTGGTCTTAGGAGGAACACATCCGGCAAAGGCCTGTGGCTGATAACCCCGTATGTCTCAAAACCCATTTGGTCATTTTTGGAGTTCTGTGTTCAACATATATTCAGCTTTAGTTACTCGCTATACGGGGAAGCCTTAGCTCTATCCGGCAGATATGACGACGAGACCAAGCTAATATTGGAGCGTGCGCTAGAGGGCCTATCCCAATTTGATCGCGGTCATACCAGCTCTACAATAGCTAAGATAAATATACATTTGGCCCACGTCCTCCACAAACGAGGGGACGATCCTAAGAAAGCAAAACAGTCAGTTGCTGCCTTCTTTGGTAAAGAGAAACACTCAACACTATGATAGACTCGAAGATTTGTCAGTGAGGTTCCTTCGCAAGAACCCTAACTTTTTGGGACAAGATATACTTTCACAACTCTTGGTGCGACCCGGCCAACCTGAGAGCCGTATCTTGACCGCGCTTGGTGGACCAAAGTGGCTTCTAGAGCACAAATCTACATTTAAAACGGATAAGCGTCTCACCAAACAATGCAAGACGTGCCAATTCCACGAACCACAGGTAAAGCTCTTTGTATGCTCAAACTGCAAATATATCTGGTATTGGTGAGGCATCGGCAGATTCTTCCTACAAGAGCTGATTGTTTTCACTTCCAGCTCTAAAGAGTGTCAGAGAGCAGATTGGAAAATGCACAAGTGAGTCAAGTTGGGAAAGAAATTTGTTTTACATGAGCTCATGATAACATATTGTCGCATAGAACTATGTGTCGGTAAGACACCATAGTTTACCAGTTCGAGGATGGTGTTAAGGATTAATCCCCGGGCTGTTATATAGTGAAATGGCGGAATACAGCAGTCACGTTGAAGAACTGGGAAAAGTCAATCCTCAAGCTGCACAGTGTGCGACTGACTGGTCGAAATGGCGAACAGGCTTTCTCACGGTAGATCACTATGCCTTTGTCCATGCGCTCGGCCTACACCGCGATCCCTCTCGGAGCCGAACCCACATTGTCTTTTGCTACGTTGAATACACTCCGCACGCCTCCAAAGATCTGAAACATAAGTTTCGTATTAACTCTTGCGGCGTTTTTCGTATCGTAGACGTACTTGCCGACATTGAACATGCCATGGGCCTCGACAAGGGAGAAGGGGCGGAGTACATTCAGAACTGTCTACAGGATCCAACTTTCAACTCGGATGTTTCAAGTTCATCGTATGGTGAAAAAATGATCCCGGTGCCGTCTTTGTTTATGGGCGTTAACTTGCAGGCAGTTCTAAGGTGCAGTAGGTGGACTTTTTCTTTTTTCGATGTCTTTACATCTAATCAGGGCTCACTTATAACACAGCGTGTGTTTCAACCGATCTACTTCGCATGAAACCTTACAACCCTCAGTGGCGCAACGCAGTTAACAAACTTGAAGATGCGCCACCGCTGAAATTGCAACTCGAGAGATCCGAGATAAAAGATGCAGAGTACATATTTTGATATAGGTTATAGCATGACAATTAAAGTGTAGGTCTAGGTCAGACGATAGATGTGCTGTATCAGGTTGGCAGGAGAGGATAAACTATCTGAAGCCAACTACTCTCTTCGATAGATCTTTGATTTCACTTCTCAAAGTCACTCGATCGTGATCACGATCACGATTTTATTGCTGTGCTATCGCTCTTCTTTGTACCGCCCTGACAGAAAATCGCGTTCCAGTCAGGATTGAGGGAGATCCGATATGTGATGACAACAGCCCCTGGTTTCACCCATGCGATTGATAGAGATGATGATCAATAGATTGGTGAGTGGACTCTGTTATCATTTGCGGTCGGTATTTTCTGATATACTGTCTTATGAACCAACCTAGGAATCCTCTTCTCAAGCTTCAAGGAGATCATCACTAGCAGAGACTGATTGATTGGACCCTATGATCGTACAGATATCATATTATACCCTCGCTACTATCTTCTCGCCTCGGCTCATCGCCGCTCTACAGCCTGGGTCCAAGCCGTTACGTCGACTTGCGCTACTGGCCGATAAAGCCATCCTTAATTTTGTTTGATTGAACGGTTGCTTTAAGTAAATGGCAAGGGGTTTTGAGAGAAAAGTGCTGTGACTGTGACCGACGTTCAAGTTCCGAGTCGCAGGAATTCGAATGTAAGAATGATAAGAATAATTCACCAGGGCTCAACCTGAAACTTAACGCTCACTCCCGCTTTCTCGAAACAAATCTATACATTAACATGTCAGAGGATTCGGACTTGTTTCTTGCCACAGCGCAACTGGGCTCCCTCAATTTGCACCTCGTATTCAACTGGACGGACTAACACTACCTCCTGACTGAAATCGTTCGGGTTTGATCTAGTTAAGATAAGATCTCAGAACTCGTAGATGAGTCTCTGAGAATGTATTCAGGTAAGTACCTAGTTAAGATAAGAGCTATACTAATGATTAGCTAGGTATTCGAAGGAAGGAAAGTAAGGATCTCACGTCAGAACTCATAGATGAGTCTGAGGTGCTACGTGGCGACAAGCCATTTTATAAGTAAGACGGAACCAAAAAATTTTTACTCATGGGATATATTGGTGAGCAGGCTACCTCAACTTACACGCCTTCCTTTCTAGGCGCTTCGTGGCTGCTTGCTTCATGCCTCGATCCTCTACGTCGATCCTCTACGTCGAACACTGACTTACAGCTGCCATCATTGGAATCAGTCAAAGCAGATGCAGCCGCTTGTGAGTTGCGCAAGGCTCATGTTTTCACCTAGTATTTACTACATATCAACAGTGGTAGATATCAGGTCGAATTTGAAGGTCGACTAAACCATCAACTTGAAGTACTTACTCCCGTGATTTGTAACGCACTGGAAAACCGTGGGGCCCTAGAAACACAAGTACCACCTGGCTCGAATACGAATGTAGAGCCATTTTTCTATCATATCCAACTGCCGAACCTTTTCACGTGGTCATGCCTCGTTAATATCATATATGGCATGTTATAGTATAAACCGGAGTGTAGTTGACTAACTAATGAGGCCAACTAGCTCCAGAAGACATTCAGGAGGATACAATCTTTGCACTGAAGATATTCGTACGTGTCTTAGAAGAGACCCCAGAGCCTATGCTTCGTATACTGGTGAAATGGCTCCCTGATTCCATGGAAGACCACAAATAATTTCTGGCGATCGTTACATGCTATTGAGTTGCGTCAATCAGAATACTCTCCCTGATCACTTCTGCTTCAGCTCCGCAATACTCTCAACAAGCTCTCGATATCCCTAATGTGTGTACACTCTCAATGGACAACCAGTATTTATGACGCATATGTACAGTCATCCGAGGATCAACCGGACGGTTGAAGCTATACCATACCTGAAGACCTCCTTCGATATTGACAGTCAGAGGAACTCTACTAGCAAAGACTTGTGGATGTTAGAACCGTATGTCTCGAAGCTCATATGATCATATTACATGTTTATATGCTTAACATGTATGCTCAGCTTTGATTACTCACTTTATGGACAAGCTTCGGCGCTGTCTGGTAGATATGATGATGAGACGAAGCTAGTAATGTCCTTTGCACACGAGGGGACAATCCTGAGAAAATGAAGAAGTCAGTCACAACTTTTTATATATTTATAGATAAACACTTAACGCTATGGACAGGCTTAAAGATTGGTCGGTGAAGTTCCTTCGTAGGAGCCCGGATGCTCTGATGCACTTGCCCAACTTCTATCTGGCCAGCCTGAGAGCCACATCCTGACCGTGCCTGGCGGACCAAAGTAGCTTCATGAGCACAAATATACGTTCAAAACTGATGTACGTCTTCGTAAGCGATGAAAGACCTGCACAGTCAGTGAACCACAAGTAAAACCCTTTGCATGCTCGAGTTGCAAATATACCTGGTATTGGTAAAGAAAATCGGCACCACTAATAGCTCTAAAATGTGTCAAAAGACAAACTGGAAAACACACAAGTATGTCAATTTGTTGACCGGTCTACTTTACATGAACTGATGAAAATACATATTATCTCAGAACAATGTACTGGTAAGCTGCTGTCGTGTTCTGAACAGGCTATTTTAACATCATCCCCGGGCTGTTAGTGAAATAACTGATTATAACAGTCACATCGAAGAATTCAAAAAAGTCGATTCAAGCTGCATCGGAGTGATCTATATGGCGAGGAGGTCATCTCGGATCCAGTGACTTTGCCTTTGCCCATGCACTCGGGCTCCACCGCGATCCCACTCGGAGCCACACCCACATTGTCCTTTGCGGCATTCACTACACTCCTCATGCCTCCAAAGACCTCAAATACAAGTCGTATCCGCTCTGGTGGCGTTTTCCATGATATCGTAGACGTACTATCCGAGATCGAAGAGGTTATGGGACTCAAGAAGGGAGAAGCAATGGAGATGATTCAGGACTGTCAACAGGATCCAGACGTCGTTCCTATCGCTTCAAATGGAGGGGGCCTGCCAATGTTGACTGTTTTGAATTGCGCAAATGTGCGGAAATATTTAAGATGCAGTGGGTGGACTCTGATCTGACTTATAATACGTTGCGTTAATAAAGGACTAACAATGCAGCATCGATCTCTCCCAAAACACTTCGCAACACACCTTACAACCCTCACTGGCGCAACTCAATCAATCAATTCGAAGAAGCACCACCGTCGAAAATGCGGTTGAAGAGACCCGAGATAAAAGATGCAGAGTGCATATTTTGATCCAAGTTATCACTTGAACTATTGAATTTCTTGGTCGCAGATTTTTTTTTCCAATGACTCTTTGAGGTAGATCTTTGATTCCATATTTTATAGCCATTCGATCGTGATCACGATCACGATGACCCAACTGCGCGATCGTTTTTGTTTCATATTACGATCATTATATCGATATGATATGTCCATCTGCTGAAATGTAAGTTGAGCGATTCGTGATTGTCGGATCGGCGTCATCCAGAATCAATGTGGGCCTCAGATGCGGTCGTGACGGTGCTTACCTTCATCATTGTGACCGCACGTTGGCCGTCTTCTGCTGCGCATTTCACTGATCAAACGAAGAAACATGGGGCACGCGGAATCAGCATTGCAGGGCACAAACAAGAAACATAACAAAGAAAACATGCGCAGTAACCCAAAGCAAGAATACAAGCAAAAAAAAAAAGGTCGTCGAACAACCAAGACAATAGCCCGCATGACAAGAGATTAAAAGAAAAAGAAAGAGTCCAATCCATATAGTCACACACAGACATCCACGATAGACACTCCAGTTCACAACTAAGGGGGACCCACAAACATCAGCCAGGTGCCGTCCTTTCGAGGGGATGCCTCAAGTCCCCGAAACATGATCTTATCCCCCATATAATCAATCCGACGCAGTCCATCGTCATCCCCAGGTATATCATGGGGATTGAACGTATTAGACGTGCGTACCCTCGTATGATAGGCTCTCGCAGCCATCTCCCGACGCCTCCCTGACCAACTATCATACTCAGCAGCAGTCACATGCTGCTGAAAGTTAGTCGAGATCGCGCTAAACACGTCGCCGCACGTGATGCCGCGTGCGTTGTACACCATAATAGGCCAGGGAAACTTGGGCGCGGGATCGTCAGCCACGCCGATAATGTGCATGTGTGTGAGGAAGGGCCAGGAGGCGGGTTGCGCGCGATCGGAGTCATCCATGGGGATCGTGGCTGGCTCAGCCTCGGTATATATGATCCCAGACGGTTCGCGGCCTATATCGAAGGTGATCAGGGTCTTGCCTATGTATCTGTGCTGGAGAAAGGGGTTGAGTTGGACTTCCCAGGGGAATGGGAGAGGTTGGCCGGGTTGGGGGCTCGACCATTCTTGAGGTCTGGGAGGAAGAGCAGGGTGTTTGACGCGGGCTGGCCAGTTTTCTGGGTGGGGCGACTGATGAGGCCCGCGTAGAGAGTCCCAGACGTAATCTGGGTCGAGGCTGATGGGCGGTGTTACCCGTGGTGCTGAGACAAAGCAATTTGAAGGCTAGAAGGAGGACTAGAGAAGAAATGTACGACATACTTGCATTATGTACTTGGACACCATTGAGGGTGGGGCGTGCCCAGTAGCCGTAAGCTTTCCATCGATGTGGGGGAACCAATGGAGGAGTAGGGGGACCAGAATACTCTGATGTATTTACTTCATCGTCATCATCGTCATCTAGCATTAATACCTCAGTTAATTCTATGGAATCCTTGTGGTATCAGTGCTTTGGTAGATAGACGCACTGAACAAGTCCTTAAAGGATTTCCAGAATTTGCAACACTTCCGTTTTCGTCTCTGTGAGTCGAGGCTCATTGCTCTCTTCAGCCGGGCCTTCCTTTCTCTCTCAGTCTCCTCGTGGACTGGGTGAGGATTATGAGGCATCCCGTCGAATTTAGAGGATGAATGTGGGAGAGGTGATGGTACCCATGGGGTATGCATATTGTCAACGAAACGATATGGGCCGCCGTTGTCAGGCCAAGGATTATGAGTCATGATAGGCCGAAGCAAGACGGAAGTGAGTACAAGGTAAAAAAGGGAGAACAAGGCAAAAAAAGGGTATTCTTAAGGCTGCAGCATTGCGATAACGGCATGCGGATGGTGCGTGTTTCCAGATGTGTGCGATATGCATCCCTTCTCCGTCACGGTACTGCCCTTCCTTAAAAGGGGTTATTTTTGAGGTGGTCGTGCACGAGGCTGTATTTTAATGTGTTGTTTTCCTTGTTGGTGGTAGTAGAATTTCTGAGAAAACAAGGAGAGCTGTCAAATAATATCAAGATATTCGTGCATGGGCGCAGTAGTTTATCGATGACAGGGCAGCGGTGCTGTCCCAACTGTAACACGATGTTCTGGCCTTTTGACATTTATTTGAATATTGAGATTATCGAAAATAATAGGTGGTCGATAGCGCTAGAAACGGCTATTTTTTCTGGAACCGGCAGATAAACGCGTGCGTGTTACCCAGGTCAGGATTCAGCATACGTCGACGTTGTGAACAGGAATCAAAAGGCAATGCTGCGCTTCAATTGCAGTCTCTATACGGTGGCTGTGTCTGAATAACACTGTTAAGACGTATGGGGCTGTGGTCTTTTTACAGCTGGCGCGTACCTTTACTGCACATTTTGACTTCTGACATCTACAGGGACGAACTTGAAGGCTGTTCATGGATGCTGAAGCTTGTGTGAAGCATAGCATGCGTCATCGGACAGCTCTATAGGCCACTTTTTTGCAGGGAGGAAGAACCAGAATTATCGTGGCGTCGATGTCCAATATTCAACGTTATATTCAAGCGTTGCATGCATGCATTCACGGGATTGCATGACAAACACGCCACGATGACTGGACTCCCAATAGCGAGGGACTTTTGCCATCGTTCATATCAGAGTATAGCATGATTGAGACTAGTACGATTCTTGGTTGGCCACTGGGAGAAGGGACAAGCCTCGATTAAAGCGCGAAAGAAAAGATGATTGACAAACATACGAGCGCGCTTTGGACCGCCAACTACCCACAGCTTCGGCTTTAACACCTACTCATTCAGGACCATCCTGGCCAAACTCGAAGGGCATCGCACAAAACGGACATCCCCTAGCCCTCTGCACCTAGCACCTTTTCTAGTTCTTCACAACAAACCAACACCCCGACTCGACACGCGCGGTTCTTTGGAGGATTCACTATCATCTTTTAGCTCTAGTGCTCTTCTACGGGCGGGTCTCGTCCGAGTCTTAGTCGCTCCATCCACGCTTAGGGACGGCATCGTAAAACGAGGACTAGGATTCGCCTCCTCGTACGCCACTTACACCGCGGGTTTTAGCACTGCAGTCGTCTTGGGCTTTTTGATTGTTGGATGTAGCCCTGCGGGTCATTGATTGTTCTACGAATACGAGCAATGGAGTCTCTGCTTTTACTACACATGCTCTAGAACAGGGTGAACTCGCGTGCGCTGGTGCAATGCCTCGAAAACCCAACTGATGTTGGGTGAAGCCCGAGGCTCATCGATTGTTCTACAAGACCAGCGCACGCGGGCTAGATAAGTTAACTGGTGCTCTAGAAGATGCGATGCGGTGTAATGAAGAGACTCCATTGTTTGTCTCCTCAAAACCTCAAGCAAAGATAAATATACAAACATTGTCTATTATCGAATCCACAGTTGAATACATACATGGTACAAAACACAGCAGAGCAACAGATATTCAATGGATATTCATATAAGAGTACGACGATCTTGGGTACATATTACTAGTCATAACAGAGCAAGGGATGTCATATACAAAATAAGGGAGAGCATGAGGGCGACGTAGGAGATGGCAAAGCAGATGAGTGGGGAGAGGAATGAGAAAACGAGAAAAATGAGGAATCGCAAGGCATGGGTCAGGAGGGAGCAGCGCTCCTTACCGTGTATGAACTATTTCTATTTTTTTTTGGTATATTTCTTGGTGTTTTCTGGATATTCTGTTCTGCGTTTGATTCCGTTCAGCAGCGAGGAGAGATAGAGAAGAGATCGAGTGCAAAAGTAATCAGTCAATACTTGACGATAGGCCCAACGTCAACAACGTTGAACGTTGAGCGTCTTCTAGAGGTGGTAGTGGCCGTTGAAGTAATCTGACCGGATACGCATCACGTCGTTCAGATCGAAAGCTTCGAGCCCGGTGTTATACTGGTGCAAACTGTGGATATCGCGAGAGCGCAACGTATCGTCGAACGGAGACCACTCGTAGATCGTAGGTGCGGCACCCACACCCTCCCCGCCCATAGTGAGCTGAGAATCACAGTTGGAGTACGGAGGGAGGTAAGCAGCAGAAAGCGGACCTCGAGAAAAGTCACGCAATTCGGCCGTGTCCCAGCCCTTGAGCGAAGAATACGGAGAATAGGACTGGACGGGGTAGGATAGGCTACCATCGAGCGTCATCTGGCTGGTCAAGCTCCCCGCCGCCTTGGGAACCATATGTCCAAGGGGAGGAGATGGGAAATTGTACACGCTAAAGGAACTCTCCAAGGGAGAAACCGACGGGCTGCTCAGGTCGTAGGCCAAACCAGGGCAATCAGATGAGACACCCGCACTCATAGGCACGTCGAATAGATTGTATGACTATAAAAAAAGACAAGGGCCATTGAGTATGCCATTAATCCCCGCAGAGAAAAGGAGTAAAGATAAAACTCACGTCATTCCAACGTGCAGGTGATTCGCCGAGTAGCGAGGGAAGCACGAGGGGGGACAAGCTCCCAGCTTCAGCGTGTACAACACGTGGCTGCCCTTCTTTATGTTCTTGTCGACGGTCCGCCGGGAAGGAGGAAGGAGAGGTTGCCGTATCAGATATGATGCTCGAGATGGGCTCGTCGAGAACGTGGCGTTGCGCAAGCGGAAGAGAGGGGTAGGAGTCGCGGTTGTGGGCGGCTGGAGCGGATAAAGAACGTCGAAACATTGCCGTAAGGGGGACCTTGAAGCGGGAATCAGGGATAGCATCAGGCGTCTTGCAGCGGGCCCTGATATGGGCTTTCTCGTCATGCGCCCTTGCGTTGACTGCTTCGTAGATGTCCTTCGTTTCGCCAAGTACGCACGAGCTCGTTAGCCCGGTATCGACGCCCTCCAAAGCCGCTTCGATTGCCTCTTTGAAGTTGCCAGGGCTATTATCCCCCCCAAGCCCGACATGAAGGGTCTTCTCGACTTCGCGGCATTTCTCACCACTTGCCTTAACTCCGAAGTGCTGAGTGAGGTCATGCTCCCACTTCTTGACGGCATCCTCCAAATCGATACCTTTCTTCCCTTCGACGAGTAGATCCGCTATCTTCGTGCACCTCTCCTCCCGACTTTTCTCCTTGACCTCTGCCTCGCCTCTTCCCTTACGATTCGTCTGACTGTGGCGCCTTCTGTTTGTAGTAGTGCCCGGACCATCTTTGACTTTGAGCTTTGCAAGAGCGTTAGCACCAGGTCTGAACCGCCAGTCGGGGTATTTCCTGCGATGTTCTGTTTGAGCGACGAGAGCCTTTGCTTCCCAGTGTTCCCTCTCTTCACGAGGCAGGGTCTTCCAATACTTTCCTGAGACGATTACCCCATTCAGAAGTGAAGCGTGAGATGCCATGAGGCAGAGTTGCTACGCACCAATGATCTTGGAGAGCGTGCTATGGTTTCCTTCGACCTTTCCTGGGACTTGCTGGCTGCGAATGAAGGACGATCGAAAGAGAATGAAGGCGTTGGGAGGGCGAGGGATGTATGACGCGTCGCGCTTCTTGCCGTGCGAGATGCGAGGGTGTGTCTGGGCTGCCAAGGTCGCCTCTGTGTGCTCTGGAAAGTCGACGAGAGAGGGGGGCGAGGTGGTGTCCCAGGTGGCATCGTAGGCGAGCGTGGGATCTGCTGTGAAGGCGGTGATGGGGGTCATGTCTGTGAAGAAGGTGAATGTCATGGATGGGTTTGGGTTGTCGACGAGGGGGGGCATTCCATCTGGCATTTGAGAGAGAAGGGTGTGCGGTGAGTGACGGCTGGAGGAGAAAGAAGACTATATAGAGAGAATACGCACCGTCGTCGTCGAAGGGGTCGGTGTAGAGGATATCGTGTTCGCGTATTGCTGGCATTGTTGGCTGGTGCGATGCTGGTGTAGCAAAAGGATGGAGGACAGGGATGAGCGGGGCTAGAGAGCAAAAGGGCTGCTTTATTCTGAGTTTGGCAGGAGCCATCGAAAGCGCCGGTGTTGTGTTTCCCACCCACATACGCCATTTACTCGTGACAGCTTCAGTCCATCCTTATCCGATACAACAACGCCGTCCACGGAACTCGAATTCCCCCTCAAAAAAAGAAACATGACGAGAAAACCGTCTTCGTTGGCGAGCCTTGACGCTATTTGGGGCCAATGCTTCCGTCTCGAGGAAGCCAATATCACCCGAGTATAGCGATTATGATCCACATCAAAGGAACCTGGACGGCCACACAATAATAATAAAAACATGACAACTCAGAAACGAGGTTAAGTCGCCCAACCATGCACAGATGCGTACCTGCTTCCCATATCTCCGAACATATCTCACTTTGAGCCATTTTCACGATTCGTACCTGTAAACCCGCCTGTAAGCATGTATTATTATTGCATCCTCTGCAGAGCTGCAAATGTTTGTCAGAACATATTCAGGGTAAAGCCACGTTGTCGCTCCACGGTTTCTGTGAGCCAACAGGCGTTATTCTATACCCGGACACAGCCGTCTTCGATAACCGCGACCTCCCAATATCCTCCAGCACAACTTACTATGATCCGACACCACAACATACAGAAACTACTACAGAATGGAAGCCATCTTGAACATCCCAACCGGAACCTCACATTGCGAGCATGTGCTTCATTCACCATCCCTGGACTTTTCGACATCGAGTCATACTAAACCACTTGTCACATGCTACACACTTCACGGCTCCACCCTCGGCCAAAGAGTCATTGTGACATTGACCCATATGTTCTGATGTCCCATCCAAGCTCTCGCACGCTTTTTTTTTTTTTTTTTTTGCAGCCCGTACTATTTTTTTCTCCACTTGGTACAGTCACAAAATGTCTAGATCCAGCATGGCAGCTGAGGCCTCGAGGAACCAAGGTGCGTTCCATTCGCCTGCTTCTTCGAAATGGACTCGTCCACTCTTCTCGCCATGCCAACGCCATCGTGCTTCGTGCGCGCACACGTACGACACTAATACAACACACACTCCATCCAACCCCTGCTAAACTTGTTCGAACAAACTCTACTCTCCCGAAAAGAGAATGAAAACGTGTTCCTGGCCCTTTTTCATTATTCAGACTCGACTTCGGCCGGCTATTTAAAGTATCGCTGGCTGCGGAACCCGCACGGATCCCTCTCTAACTTACTAGTTCGCACTAGTCAACGCACGATCAACATATTCTATCAAGTGCTACTGTATCGATGCCTACTGTCTGGGGAACTTCTAGCACAACCTTCAAGCCTCTATCATCATCTTCATCATCAGATCGCGCCCCAAAACTTCGTTTTGTTCAGGTGCGGTATTGACCGTCATCAGATACTATCATTGTATTAGTATGAGAACGCAAAATTTGTTACTGCGGCATGTTCATCCTGCCATGCTGCGTGATCTATTCGCAGCAACGAACGGATGTTCATTACGGATTGCGTTACTGCCAGTGGCTCTAGCGCTGAAGATCAGGACTATTATATCGTCATCAAATACAATCACCAACACTCGTGCAACTCCACAATTCTACTGTACAACACCCTTTTAGCTCCATTTCAGAGATAGATGCAAGCTCAGCCATGGTGATATGAACGGGGATCACGGATATCGCCTTGATGGCAGTTCTTCCCGTTCGCTATACTTCCAGATGAACCCAATTCTCCGAGTCTGACGAGCGGGAGCATGGCCATGCAGTTCAGACTTCTCCCTCCTCCACCCGCACACCACCCGGGCGCTACGACCCAGACCGAAACCCTTCTTTCGAAAACAACAGCAACACCCGCTAGCAGCTTTCCTCGCGTATTTATTTATTTATATGTCAATCACTAGTTCTGAAACAAAACACAATTGGTTGGACAATGGGCGCTCGAGGTGATGGAGGAGGGATGTCCTCGTCGTGCGCAGTACTTACAGCCGCAGTTACTTATCGTGATTCAAGGAACGAAGATTCATGGCTCGGGCTTATCGGGCTGGCCTTTTAACCGCCCATGAATACTCACAACTCTTGGGCGTCTTTTTATTCTTGGGCGGTGACTTTTAAAGAGTAGCTGGCCTAGTTTGGCCGCAGTCGGCTGTAACTAAAGCCTCCATTCTGGAATACCTCGACTGAGCCTGCATCGGCACTTGTAGCAATATTCGGAATGCCTCACAGCAAGCCCGCAAAACCAAAAAAGACGCAGAGTAATGTCCAAATGTCAAGATACCCATAGTCGCACAAAGGTGAGAAAACATCAGAGGGAGGGACAGAAACTCGAATACACATAGCACATCTTCCATACATATCCTACATAACGTCAAAAAGGTATATAAAAACTCGGCAAATGCCCCACAATGCCCAAGAATAACTCATAGGAAATACGTTCTCGAAAAAGCGAGCCATCATCGATAAGCTGACAGGGGCGGATATGAAGACAGGCGGGGAGGTGTCGACGATGGAAATAAGGCTCTAGTCCCTATCTACTAAATCCTCCGCCTCGCCAAACTTGTCAAGCCACGCTTTGGCGCCGCCTTGCATGACATATGCCCTGGATTGGGTATAGCCGTGTTCATCAAGAAAGTCTTGGTACCTAGTGTGAGTAGGTAGTGTCAGATTAAAGCCAATTTGACAGATCACAGTTAATCTGATAAGAGGAAGGAAGGAAGGAAGGAAAAAAAGAAAGAAAAGAGGGGGAAAAGGGCTTACCAAGCCGCACATCGAGGACCTCTTCCATTTGAGCTGTTGCAGTAAAATATGACTTGCTTCTTGAGCCCGAATGTCTTGTGTAAGTTTGCCAACTCGTCGTAAAAAGTCTGCGCCGCATGTTGGAAGCTGCCGCGTACGTGACCTCCCTGAATCGGAGAGACACGAGTAAGACTGGGAGAAAGAACCAAGTAGGATGGTGTTAAAGAATACTAACGGCGTGGTCGTTCCTCCTGACGTCTACTACCGCATAATCTACTTCTTCTGGGTCTCTCAGCAGCGCCGCGACTTGACCGCAGGTCAAGTTCGGAGGAGAGCTTTTGGGTTTTGGGTAGGCGTCCCACCAATTCAACAGGGGAGAAGGAGCATCGGCGGCCGCTGTCACCATTTTCTCACCTGATTTGATGGCGTATATCTGGTACGATGCTGGGAATATAAAAAGTATGTAAGGGGATTAAAGAGGATCACTTTAACCACGCGTAGACATCGAAGCTGTCGATGGCTTCCTCACCTGCCCATTCGTTTACGTCGGCGAGCTTGGCGACGCTGTCATTGCTTTTGCCTGGAGCGGGAGAGCAACACTTTGACGCGCTTGGAGCGGGGGTGCTGCAGCAATTTGTGGAAGCGACTGTGGGGGGACAACACCCTGGTGAGCCGCTCTGAGTGTAAACGTTCAAGTCGCCATGCGTATCGACGAAAACAGCATCTGTTTACGTGTGAGATGTGAGCAGCTGGGAGGTTTTACGGGAAGAGAACGTACCGGAAAAACCGGCGTCGGTGATGATATCCTTGTATTCTCCCAGCTGCACCGCACCAGAGATGCAGCCGATGTATAGGACGAGGTCAGAGCGCAAAGCGTCAGGTAAAGGCTTCTTTGCGATGATCTAGACGATGAATAACATCAGGTTATGATATATAATGAAGAGTGGTGAAACGTACATCATCGAGGACGACGCGGCCTCCGGGCTTGAGGACTCTGTGTACTTCCTTGAGCAGCGCGGCTTTGCCGGCGTTGGGTAAGAGGTTGATAACGCAGTTGGACATGACGCAGTCGACGGATTCTGAAGCTATGGGGAGAGGCTTTGTTAGTAGAGTCTGGACGAAGGCGACCTGGGGTGGACGGAGATTTTTCCTGGCAGCGTTTCGACGGGCCAAAGCGATCATATCCTGTAAAGGGCGGTTAGTTGCAGCACGGTTGGATGGGGTAATAGAGACTTTACCTCTGACATGTCCAAGCCGATGGCTTGGCCCCGAGGACCGACTTTGGAGGCTGCCAACAGGATGTCTATACCCCCGCCAGATCCGAGGTCTAGTACGACTTCTCCCTGGAGAGAGAAAAATATAAGCATGTTTGTTGTATTATTGCTCTGTAACGTCAACGTACGTCTTTGATAGACGCCGCAGCAACGGGGTTGCCACAGCTTAGTCCAAGATGGGACTCGGCGGGTATGGAGTGCAACTGTTCGAGGGTATAGCCAAAGGATTTGGCAACGGAGAAGGTATCTAAGAGTGGGCGTCATGGTGTTAATTTTATTTCATGGTACATTTTCTGAAGAGGGACGTACATGACAGATCGGCTCCCGTCCTGGCCTTGTCGCTGTAAGCGTCATGGACTACTTTGACGATAGCATCTTCAGTGGAAAGTGGGCTGTCCTGGGCACTGTTCATTGTGGAGGTATGGGTGAAGAGGAAAGGTATCTCTGTAAATAAAACTCACCGCTTTCTACATATAAATATTCAGTAAAAGGCAAGTCAGCAGCATGGCGGAATCAATATGGTCGAATTTGACTGTGAATTTGACTGCGAATTTGACTGCGAATTTGAGCGGGTCACATGACTGGTGTCTGTCGGTTAGTGGCTTTCCACTTTCGATCTGCTCGGTGTTTGTGCTGAGCTGTCAAAAGTTTGTTGACTTTTATCTGTGGAAAATACAATACTTTCATGTCGACCAGGATACCTGCTTTTTATTTGAATTCTCCTGCCATCATCTGTGTGCGTTACAGCACTGGTTCCTGGAGATGTCAACTATCTGGTCATTGTCTCTCCAGATGCCACCTACATCGGCAGTGCGACCAGCATCGCCTGCCATATCGTTCGTCTTCCCGAAACGCACGAATGGAAGTTGCACAGAGGTCGCACATATCAGGCGTCACTGGCGCAGTGCCATTCTTATATATTAAGCGTCTGTCCACCGAATATGCCGTCTCTTATCCTTTTCCCCCTCATCATCGCACCCACTGATCATCGATCACCAGTGAGATAGCAATTCACCTGGTGTGATCAGACAAACAATTTCTCCTGATGGATCCAAAACTCGCTGCTGCCCGTGAAAATGCAGCCTACTATCGCGGAATGCTCGTGACCACCGACCCCACCTGCAAGAGCCAGGCCATCAAGGATGTATACGAAGATGGCGTCTATGGAACCCCTAAATCTGCGGGAGCGGGCTGCCGCTCTCCGTTTCCACATGTTCATGCACCACCTGCTTGGTGTACCTGGTCCCCATGTTCGTGGGGACATTGTCCAACGTCCCCCATACACGCTCGCCCCGTCTTTTCGACGCCTTCGCGCCACAGTCCGCGTCGTCAGTCCATTGGCGGACGCAGTACCTACAGTCCACACCATCGTAGTCAGCGGCCTGGAAACTCTATATTGCGTGCTACTAGACCATTAGACCCTCTTCCTTCTCCTGCTGGCTCGAATCCGGGCGTCCAAGTGGATCCAGGTACGTCCAGGTTTTCAAACACTTTTTATCTCGCAGTCTTTAACGTCCACATAGAACCGCGTCCCGCATGGGCGCATCCGCATATCGTCAACACGCCTCGCAATACTCCGCACAATCACTCTTGGGGTGCTTTGCCACCCATAAACGGCAGTGGCGCCCTCGCCATCAGTCCCCGTTCGCACACGCCTGCACTTCCCATAGATCCTCCCGATCAACATGTTTGGAATTTCCCAGGCGGGTCTCTTTCGTGGACACCACATCCCCAACCTGGGGTTGACCCTTCTACGTTTTGGACGCCCAATGCAGTTTTGAACCGTACTCCCCGCCAGTGGTCTGGTACGCCACTCGATTCCTGGACGGCGGCCCGTCTGACTGGCGGGTGGCCTTTACCAGGGACGTGTGTGCACTGGACACCCGGAACCTGGCCCCCAGTATGTTATCCCAACAACGTACCGGTGCGGCTTGCGCCGTGGTTGATACCGAACCCCAGCAATACGTACATGCCCCAGATCGTTTGGGACGTCTCCCAAGATCCATCAAGATCGAAACGTCTGACGGGGGCTCATGTGATGGTGGATATGGGAACTGTGGGTGGCGAGCAGGCGACTTATCCCCCAGCTGACAAGATACACATCGCGTGTGATGCTGGCTTCATGGGCCAGCTTTGGGGCCCGATCGTGATTCAGAAATCGTCCTGCATCAAGGTTGGCGATATCTTGAGAGGGATCTACGAGTACTTCCAGCAACAGCTGACGCAGGAAGAAGTCGACCATATTGCAAGGCTTGGGAGAGATAATTATTGCATCTTGCTCGACGCTTGTTACAAACGATGTTTGGCGACTCCTGGCCTACCCGGTTATGAACAATCTCTAGGGTTTCGACGTGTTGACTGTCTTGGTGACAAAAAGATATACTGGGGATTGTGGGTCACGTATAACTCAGACTCGACTTGGCAGCTCAATCTGGGGCTCATCAACCAACGCTCATGAAGATCCCGATAGGGGGGGTGTCGTTTCGTGCTTTCGTCATACCCTGATTTATCGATTTGGTTATTGCGGACATGGCGGATTTTCTTATTTTACGAGCTGCTGCAAACTCTGCAGCTGTCACGACTGGGCTCGGGGTTTTTTATCATGGACTATCACGTTTTTCCGATTTGCTGTGTTTTCTTGCGTGCTCCTCGTGCTCTTTCTGCTATCTTGTATCGTCTTTCTTGGCTTCTTGGCTTACTCTACATATCAGGACACATCGATGCCTTACTCCCTCGCGACTTGTATTTACACATGACTTTACGACACTAACGATGTATACTACCTTACTCACTGGGATCACTGACTTGTAATCATAGAATTTCACTGACATGTATGGTTAGTTGAAAACTGGTGGTCGTAAGTGGATTGCTGTCGCCAGATGCCCATGTATTCAACCATGACTGGCTTCGACATTTTGAATTCGGCTTATTGCTACCATCGCCTTGCCTTCTTGGCTCGTATAAATGATAGGGATCGTCACATCTTGAGATGTTTTGCTGAGAATGATGCGCATAAGCAAAGTCAGTCTATTAGCCTGCTTTGATTTGAGCTCGATGACGATACCATCCTCTTGGCTTTGAACAAAAATCATCAAGTGCACATCGTGAAACATTTGATAGTCAAACGTCACGCGTCATCGATGCATCATCCTTGCCAGGCACGACACAGTGGAGAGCCAAGCGGAACCGCGACTTTGATGCCAGTGCTAGTAAGAAGTCAGTAGAGGTTGCTTCGGACGTGTTGCGCGGTTATCGGGATTCCACGTCCGTCCGCATCTTGGAAAACGACTGCTGCTTTCGTATCGCCATCGGCAGGGATGGGCGAAGGAATTCAGACGTTCGGGTGGGTAAAGCAAAGCGGAGTGAATCGGGACGAGTAGGTTTTCGATGTCGTCGAAACCAGAGCCAAGTCGAAGTAATGGGGGGGGTTTTTGGCTAAGCGACTAGTATGGCGGTATGTACAGAGCCTCGACGTGCAAAGCGGTGGGCAGTCTGGCTTCGTTCAACAAAGAGGAAACAGGTTGCGTGAAATCGATTGAGGGCATGTGCATCGTCGGGGCGTGCGAGAAAGTTCTGCTGCTCCACGTTCACTAGAAGAAACCACCGTTACCCCTAAGTGTCAGCTTAGAAATGGAGTGTATGCGTCTGGATCAGTCTTACGAGCGTCCTGAAGAGTGCTAAGGTTCACCTTTCATGTTCAAATGAATGGCGCGTGAATTCTAGTCATGCGCGTTGCAATGTCCGCCTGATCATTGAGAGTAGGTATTGGAACTGGACCAGCGGCGACTTGTCGATACGGTCTGAACGGAACAAACCTAAGCTCCACTGTGATATATTTATCTGTAAATGTCCTATCGTGGCCGAATGCAAAACGTCGTTGATGAGAAGGCTGATGATGTTCTGCAGAACCCTCAGACTGGGTGTTCTTAATCCAACAAATACAACGTCCTTGGACCTGAATGATCCGGCCATGGTTCCGAACGACTAAATCAGGGAATGCAGCTACAGCCATAGAACACATAAATAATCCGTACGCCGGTACTTGTTGCGTAGTTCGTCCTTGGTAGCTTGTCGTGTGATATCGTTCTTGTCCAAATGATGAGGTATACTATGCTCTGTCACTGCGCTTAGAGGTGTGTCAGATAAGGACTGACCATCTGACTATCTCGCCGGTCCCAGGGGCCAGCTGGAAGGCCGGGAGAGTATATTCAATAATTCAAATGCGGTGTGGCACCGGTGGCCTGGCCGGCATGTTTCGGCGTATGTCAATTATTGCTCGGCATTTTCCTGTAAGAAGCTAGAAGTTGAGAAGTATCGACCTTCTACTCGGTCCACTGTGACAGATTTCACGGGTGCTTACTGCCAGTACACATGTCACTCAATACAAGTATTCGGTCCTATCTTGGCTCCGCACGAAAATGCCTGTCCTATGGCAAGGCCAAGTCTGGTCCACTCACTTCTTCACAACCAACGCTGTCAAACACACACTCATATGTGAGATATCACATTCAATCGTGCTTATAATCATGATGGCTGTCCTAATGGCTTTCCTTATCCTATTTAAGAAGCACTCTGACCGTCATAAATACCCAAAGATCGGAAGCAAGTTTCGCCAATGCCCCAGCGCACGCAACGCACCAAACCCCCATTCGTGCCCGCTGCCGTTCACTTTATGCACGAGAAATCCTCAAACAAAAAATTGGACTTGCTCGAGAAATCCAGCGCCGTTTCAGAGAACGGATCTGACTTTTACTCTGGCGATTCAGACTCACACGACATTGTAAATGGCCAACCACCGGTCGTATCCACAGGAAAGGATGTATCACGGTATCTCGTAGATCTACGCGACGACGGTGATCCGGCTTTAACTTTCCGGTCGCTTTTAATCGGAACCGTGTTTGCTGGCCTTGGTGCTGCACTCAATCAGGTTCGTCCTCCACTCGAGCTTATCTACAGAAACCTCACTATATGCGCTTCGGTTACTGCAGATATACCTTCTCAAGCCGGTGCAACTTACTATCTCTCCTGTTTTTCTTCTCGTGCTCGTTTACAGTGTCGGATTGGCTTGGGCTAAAATCTTACCCCGGCGGTCTACAGTTCAAAATACTCGCCTGGCATGGCTCGCTTCCACTTTTGACTTCATCAACCCGGGCGACTTCAAAATAAAAGAAGTACGTGTTGGTATTATGTCCTCAGGAAGCGGGCTAATTTTATAACGTAGCATGTAGTCTCTGCTCTAGTGGCTTCCACAGCGTCACATGGAAGTACGGCCGTCCAGAACTTTTCTGTACAGCGCGTATGTTGCCAATCATGCCTTTCCCACTCCTTCCTGCTGAATTTTCCTGTAGCTATATTACAACACGAACGTTCAGGCAACCACCGCTGTTCTTGCGACTTTTTCTACAGCATGCTTCGGGTATGCATATCTCGTTTCTTCATTGCTGCAATAGAGCTATAGATATGTTTAGGTATGGACTGGCCGGCTTAGTGCGTCCTTTGGCCGTTTATCCGAGCGAAATGGTGTACTGGAGTGTAGGCATTGATTTTAACCCTACAATATGCGCGCTGATAGTGTCCCATAAGAATCTTCCAGCGGTCTCTATATTTCAAGGTTGGAGATATGGTGACGCTGATTTTACGTCGCTGATAATTTTCGTTCTGGACAGCTTTGCATTTCGATACCTCTGCCAATCACAAGCGGGTCAAGCTTTTCTGGTCAGCATTCATTGGAATGTTCCTTTATGAACCTATACCATCCTACATATTCCCTTATCTCAACGGCTTCAACGTCTTCTGCCTTGCTGCTCAAAACGCCTCAGCGAAGACTCGAAACATCTTTACGAACCTTTTCGGTGGTGCAGATGCTAATGAGGGTTTGGGCTTCCTGAGTCTGTCGTTTGATTGGCAATATATCACTTCGTCAGTAACTAATCAGCGGATCTTGTTTCAATTCGTTGACTCTCGCATTTTTTCTAGTACATTCATGAGCTTGCCTATCACTCAACAAGGTAACATATTTTCACTTACCACACACTTATGCAGCATTGCACTTACCTTGAGTTGGAAGCCAACACATGGATCGGCTACGCTTTTTGCTATATCGTCATAATGGTGATTTATTATACAAATACCTGGAATGTAGGTTCTTTCACTACATCAGATACACAGCAATGCAAACATGTCTCGTTTCGGTGAATAACAGTCGCTGGCTTTCCCGATGCTGTCAACGTCAATTTTCTCATCAAACGGTTCTGTCTATGAACAGTCAGCTGTGTTCGGATCTACGTTCCAACTCAATCAAACTGCACTAGAGGAAGTCGGCTTACCAGCCTTGACCGGTTCTAACGCCTGGACTAACCTAACTGCCAATCTTTCGGTAACTAGATTTCTACTTGTTTTCAAACCGTAACGCCCATCCCTTTTATAGATTGGTGGTCTGATTGCCCATTGTGTATTCTTCTGGGGGCCTTACGTGAAGGAGTCCTTCCAGCAGTCTCGGACTAGGACTCAGCCAGACCCTCACTGGAAGGTAAGCGGAGATTAAACGTACTTCCCGATATACACTCAAGAGTTATGAAAGGCTATGCAAAAATATAATGAATGTCCTTGGTGGTGGTACCTTATCTTGCTCGGCCTTGCATTTGTTGCTGGTAAGTTGAAGACCTTTCTGTGTTTCGAAGAACTGATAAAGTATGCGATATGCAGGCTTGATTGTTGTCTTCAAAGGACAGACAACGTTACCTTGGTGGTCCTTCCTCGTAGCTCTGGTCCTGGGAGGTAAGGGATTCTGATTTGTAACCCAAAACGTTCGCTAAACAAAATTTGCAGCTTTTGTCACGGTGGGTGCAGTAGAAGATATATGGATGGAAGTGCTCACTTTTACTCCAGCCGTTTTCTACACTACTTTTTGCCCGTATGGGTACTGGTGTCGCGACCCAACAACTGATGAAAATGGTAGCAGGACTCATCAATCCCGGACGACCCGTTGCAAATCTTTACGTATGTGCCTAGCCTATGATTCTGGGCTGACTCGTTCGTTTTTGACCGTTTATGCTTACAGTTCTCCATGTGGAGTCACGATATCGTTGAGCAGTCCATTAAATTAGCCGGTGACCTCAAAATGGGCCAATACTTGAAAATACCGCCTCGCACCATGTTCTTGACTCAAGTCTGGGGCACCATCGTCGGTGAGCTAATTTGTTGTAAGATCAGATAAACAAATGATTTACTTGGATTCGTGGCAGGGATAATTGTCAACTATGGTAAGTACTCCCGAGTTTTTGGATACGTTTTTGGTCTTGTCTAAGTTCAGGCAAATAGTCGTTATGGTTTCAATCGTTGATGCCCAGCGTGAAATTCTTATCAGTCCTAAGGGTAGCAATGTTTGGAGTGGGCAGACGATTCAGGCACTCAACAGCGGTGCTGTTACGTGGTCCCTTGCGAAGGAGCTTTACGGACGAAACGGCCCCTATTTCGTTGTTCCTTTGAGTTTAGCCATTGGGATGATACCGACGTTCTTTCAGTGGCTAATCGCCAAGGTACGTCGTTGGCTATACGGAATGGTAGCAGACAAGCTCACTTTGCGAGTGTTAGCGGTGGCCTAAGATTGGCCCATTGAAGGTGGATTCGATCATATTGCCCATAATTTACATGGTATGTGCAACTTGCAAATTTTTGTTCCATGGTCGTCTGTAATCAAGTTTTGACATGTTTTAGTACTCATCCGCCATGTCGAGCGGGGTGACCTCGACAATTCTATCATCCATCATCGTGGGACTGGTCTCACAATTATGGCTTCGAAAAAGTCACCCAGGTTGGTATAGGAAATACAATTATATCCTGGGTGGTGCACTGGATGGTGGCGCTGAGGTGATGATCTTCATTCTCTCGTTTGCTGTGTTCGGAGCATCTGGAACGGCCAAGCCTTTCCCTAGTGTAAGCATTTATCATTCGCCACTGAGTAAGATCGAGGACTGATTCTTTTTTTTGTTCAGTGGGCAGGAAATCCTTCAAAAGGAAATGTAGACTATTGTAATGGTAATGGTGCTTTGGGATGATGGACACATACAAATACAATAAATTAATCAAATGTTTCTTGGGACTCGGTCGGCATGTATGTAGTCATCTTCGCATTGACACGATGTGGGCAATGTAATCCGTATCTTGGATCACAGAAATGTAAGTTTGAGAGCGAGACTTGGTAAGTCCCTACACAGATTGCGAAATCAAACTATGGGGGCAGAATCACGTGAGAAATAGGTTTCAGAGACCTTGGCGAACCGACTCACGCGTGTGCGACTGCTTAGAGTACACGGCCAATTGTTAATGGCAGAAATAAACCATATCTGGTAGATATCCGGCGGTCCGAAAGTGGCCTGTCCTGCATGTCGCACCGATATTTTCCGAATATATAAGCGCTATATTGAATCTAGAACATAGCTTGCAGGTATATGCACCTGGGTTGCCTGGTAAACATGACAAATTATGACATTTGTTTATAGTATGAGAAAACATGCATTGGCCAGGGCTTGAACCTGGGACTCCAGCTTTCATGGTCTGGTGCTTTACCAACTAAGCTACCAAGGCATACTTGGAAAGCATACTGATTGGTTGCATGCCCAGAAGGTCCAGAATCACTGTACACGGGTGCGGATCCCATTGTGTTGTGATAAAACAAGCCTTATAAGGCTTGACCATCACATGTGTGGTTGAGCCTTTTAAGGCTCGTTGTTCACAAAGGCCAACGCTGGAGTAGGCCTGGAGAGGAACCAGATAAGATTGGAGGCATTAGTAAGCCATGTATAAAGTACGCACTCCGACAGCGGAGTGGAAAATACTTCTTGAGGTGGCGACCAACCAATGCTACTACAACGTGGTGACAAGAAGGGATTTGATCAACTACGAAATAGACATTCTGGACAACTATAATGTGTGGTCGGATACGCAGGATGACCCAACAAGTCCTAGACTACGTTCAGCTTTCAATTGGGAGCGTGGTAACCCAGGTGATCAAAGTCAAACAACAACCTTATCAACAACATCTTTGAGGATATACAGAGACTTAGAATTAAAGCACCCGAAATCACCACTGCAAAAATTCGAATTCGACATAGAAAGTAGCGACAACGAAGAAGAAAACATGATGATATTGCCTATGAAAGGAGGAGAAAGTATGGAATTATTTGTAGGAGGAGGACGACAAGATCCTGAAGTATGGATGTGAAGATTCCAGAGGGAGTCGTTGTGGTATCCAAGCAACAAGAAAGTCTTGTTATTAGGAACATTTATGGCGCTGCATTCGCCAGCAGACACTTGGTTTAATGAGTTGGAAGAAGCGGAAAAAACCTTGTGGGCTATGGTAGAACATGTGTTCTATGCGTCGTTTCCAAAATGGAACATAGTGGTGACATGAGAAGACCCATTTGACGTTTTTCAAAAGCTGAAGTTGCAGGAGAACGAGGTTGGAACGACAGTCCAAAACGAACAAGGCATGTACCGACAAGTGCATGTACAGTCTGCGGAAGAAGCAATGATTTGGGGGCAACAAACGAGCACGCCTGACAAAGCACTGAAAGCATTTCTAAAGGAACGAATGCCACACATGGTCATCGCATTCCTCAAGAAAGCAGTTCATAAGTCAGTGAACTATGTCGAATGGATTGATACACTACGGAAAGTGGAAGTAGAAGAGTTGTTGGCAGAGAAAAAACTACAGAACAGGCTGGAAGAACTGGAACGAATGGTGAAAAGCCTTACAGTGTAACAACCAAGAGTTAGTTACTCTGGTGCACACAGGAACACACTATAAAGAAGATGATGGGGAGTGGTTACCCCCTAGGCTGCAGTGAGTTAGTTGTGCTAGACAACAGGAGGACTTGCTGAGTCCTTCCCCATGTATTACTCTTGTATATATACTAAAATACATGAGGTACTGTACAGTTGTAGATAAAGTTCAAAGTCCGATGTCTAGCATGTGACCGGTCACATGATGAGTCTAGACACTGGTTAGGTGATGTGTCACATGACTGGTCATGTGACTTGGAAAAATAAAAGTAAAAGTATGAAAAAAGTGGAAGAAACCACGCACATAGAAGGAACAGTTAGTAATGCAGCAAACAAAAGACATACCTAGAATGGAGACGAGTGCAGCCCGAAACGAGAATTGACAAACAGCACAAACTTGGACGCCAATTCACCTGAATACTGATGAAGGACACAAAGCGACTGAAATTGACCGGGTAAATTGAATGAAGAAATGGGGAGATCAGGCAAGATAGGATGCAGGAAAACCATACCCATTAACGCCAGGAACAGCACCAGCTGGGTCAGGAGAGTGCATGAAGTGCGGATGGGGAGGCCATAAAGGACACCAGTGTTATCGTAGAAGGGCGGAACTCCCAGCACTTGAGTAACTCTTCCGACGGGCGGTGGAAATAGAACCAGCAAGCATCATGATTGTCACCGATGAAGGAGAAATAGAAGTTACATGGGATGAGTGGCAAGAGCAAGAAACGGCAGGAAAAGGAAAGGGGAAGTCACTCCCCACAATGGAAGCTGTCAAGAGATCAAATGACGACCACAGTGGAAACAGAGTTGACAGTAGGAGAAGAAGGTCAAACGGACACTAAACAGAACGAGCAGATAGAAGTGAATAATGAATGCATAAAGGGGAGTCATCACATATACATAGAAACTGTAACAACCAAGAGTTAGTTACTCTGGCGCACACAGAACACACTATAAGGAAGATGATGAGGGAGTGGTTACCCCTTGAGCTGCAGAGAGTTTGTTGGTTAACAACAGGAGGACTCGCTGAGGAGTCTCCTGGATCTATTTGGGGTATATATACTACTACAGGGTTATTTGTACATATGTACTATACAGTTGATAGTGACAGTGGCTGATGATGTCATGGGGCCTAGCCCGCATGGCCAGCTCCACTGTGTGAGAGAGTTGTGTCTATAATAAGAAGAAAGGCAACGCAGCGCGAGAAAGAGGAGTTTGGATAAAAGGGGAAGTGCCGCGTGGCACCCTATTGAAAGCTAAGGTTAAAGCGGAGAATAAAAGTAAAGGGAAGGTCCAAAAATTGTGTTATCGTAATACTACCCCCCTTCTAAGGCTCGACTTCCAGGCGAGACCAAATACCGGAGGTACTGGTAAAATTTTTGGGCATAGGTTGAAAAAGAGATTTAAAAAGATTTGAATCCATGCCTCTAAGCTTCCTAGGAGCTGAGGAATTCTTAGAATAAAATTTGCAAACAGCATCACGGGAATTGTCCAGATGGATTTCTGGTTCCCACGTTCTGTCCTCATCTCCATAGCCCTTCCATAGAGACTAGGAATTCTAATTTACCACGCTTCAAGTGTGCATCCACTACTTGTTCAACTTCGAACTCTTCTTCACCTTCCTGGGTGACTATAACCGGTCTGGGCCGATCTACACGCTGTCCCGGCAGCGGCCCTTTGTAGGGTTTCACACGGCTAATATTGACCGTGGGTACTACCCTTATTCGTTTTGGGAGTTCCAGCTCCACCGCGTTGGGTTTGACTTCCTTAATCCGGTAAGGGCCAATCCACTTTTCGGTCAGTTTTCTAGACTGCCGATCTTTTAATTTTAAGTGGTCAGTATCTAACCAGACCAGGTCGCCGACCTTGTAATCAGGGGCTTTAGAGCATCTACGCTCTGCCCTGTCTTTCATCTGCTCTGCAGTTTTGAATAGCGCTTTGCGCGTTTTGTCTAAGACAGACTTCATGTCTTTTGCCATTTTCCCAGCAGCCTCGTTTTTGCTTTTGCCAGGTTCTACACCCATTCTGGGGAGGTACAATCTAGTGACCTCGAATGGTGCCTTTCCCGTAGCCGACAACTGTTTGATATTGTATGAGAACTGGGCTATCTTTAGCCACTTGGCCCAATCCATCTGTCTGTCATTAATAAATATCCAGAGATATTGTTTCAACTCCTGGTTGAGTCTCTCTGTTTGTCCATCAGTTTGCGGATGGAACACCGTTGATAACTTAGGTTTGATGCCCAGCATCCGGCATAATTCTTTTGTAAATTTGCTAGCAAATTGTGGTCCTCTATCGGAGATAACCGTTTCTGGTAACCCATGGATAGACTATACAAAATCTTTAAATAGATCTGCAGTACCCACGGCAGTAATAGTTTTATTGGTGGGTATGAATACTACTTCTTTGGAGAAGCAATCCACTACCACCATTACTGAATCATACCCATTTGACTCGGGCAGATCCGTTGTGAAGTCCACCGATATATCCTGCCAGGGACCAGCTGGTATTGGATTTGGCATAAGCTTACCGGCCGGCGGTTGGTGAGGATTCTTAGCCATGGCACATCTCAAACAGGATTTTACGTATTCCTGTACGTCTTTGACCATGCCAGGCCACATGTAGTTTCTGGAGATCAACTCCATTGTTCGTTGCCATCCAGGGTGCCCAGCCACTGGAGTGTTGTGATGTCTGTCTATTGCCTTGATCCTTGCGGACTCAGGCACATGGATCTTGTCTTTAAAATGGAAGAGCCCGTCTTCCCATAAATAGTTTTCATTGCCATCAAGGCGCGCCTTTTCTTCTGAGGAGATGTCTTTCTTGAAGACTTGCAGAAGATCGGAATCCTGCCCGATTCTAATATTGGCAACCCTTGATTGGTCTATCAGGGTGACACCTTTGTTATCATCTTCGATGCCGTTGGCATGATCCTCTCTTCTGGAAAAAGTGTCTGCTTTCCCCATAGAGCTTCCAGGCTTATGAATTAATTTATAATTAAACCTTGACAAGTATACCGCGTAGCGGGCCTGTCTTCGGTTCAAGTCTCGGGCCGTCATAAAATACTCCAGATTCTTATGATCAGTCCAAATTTCAAATTGGTGTCTAGCACCTTCTAAGTAATGCCACCAGTGCTCTAAGGCTCTAATGATGGCCAGCATCTCTTTGTCGTAAATTTGATAGTTGCGCTCTGTAGGCGACAAACTATGCGATAAATAGGCACAAGGCCTCCAAAGATCGTCAGGGCATTTAATTGATAGAACAGCCCCAGTAGCAAAGTCAGAAGAGTCGGTTTCTAGCCGGAACTCTTTGTCCAATTCTGGAAATGCTAATATGGGCGCTGTTGTAAACGCCTGCTTAAGCTTATCAAAAGCTTCTTGTTCTTTGGCGCCCCAGTGCCAAACAATGTCCTTTTTAGTGAGATCGTTCAACGGTCTCGTGATTTTTGCGAAGTTTTCGATAAACCTTCGGTAGAAATTGCCTAAGCCAAGGAAGGCCCTAACTCCTTTGACGCAAGTAGGTTCTGGCCATTCCAAAATAGCTTGAACTTTTTCAGGATCCATCCTGATTCCATTCTGGCTTATGATCATACCGAGGAAGTCTACTTCCTTCACTTTAAAATTACATTTTTCGGGTTTGACGAATAGGTCCCGTTCCTGTAAGTGTTGAAGGACTTCTTGCACAATCCTGTCATGCTCAGCCTCATCATCCGACTTCGTAAATATTAACAAATTGTCAATGTAAATGACAACACAGTTCTCCATATCTGCAAAGATCTCATTCATCATGCTCTGGAAGGTCGCTGGTGAATTGGTCAACCCAAAGAACATAACAAGGGGCTCAAAGGATCCTCGGTGGCACGTGAACGCGGCCTTCTAAGCATCTGTCTCTTTGATTCGTACGTTATTGTACCCCCATCTGAGATCCATCTTTGTCAAGATCTTGGCACCAGCCAATTTGTCTACTAGCTGACTGATCAAAGGCAGCGGATACACGTTTTTAACCGTGTACTCATTCAAGTAACAATAATCCATAATCATACGCTTCTTACCATCCTTTTTAGGAATGAAGAACACCGGGGATGTCATAGGGCTCTTAGAAGGTCTAATGTAAACCTTCCTAAGCTGTTCATCTATGAAACTTGAAACCTCATCTCTTTCTGGAGCAGAGAGTGGTATCATGTGTCCTTTTCTCAGTTTGAAGGTGTCCTTCAAATCTATAGCATGGTCCCAAGGCTTAGCCTCTGGGAAGCGCTCTGATTTATGTTTAGAAAAGACTTTCCAGAAGTCATGGTACTCAGGAGGTACCAGCTTCTTAATATCTTCTTCAGGTTTTACCTCATCATCGTCATTGTCGATCTTTTCTAAAGATCTGAGCTCATAAACGTGACCAGCGTTTATCTTCTCAATACACTCATTGTGATGGACATGATTTGGTTTACCCAAGTTCACACATTCATGAGGGCAACGTGACAATATGACAACCCCTGTCTGCCAGTCGATCTCAGGATTGTGTTTAAATAGCCAGGTCCAGCCTAAGATTAAATTAATTTTCCCTAGTTGGGTAGCTTTGGCGGTGACTCGTTCTCTGTGCCCTTGGTATTCGACAACAAGAGAACATTTGTGCGTGATGCAGCCTCCCGCGTTAAGCGTACCGTCAATGTTATAGACAGGAATAGATACATCTAATTTTACAAGGGGGAGTCCAATTTGCTCCGCCCAGACCTGATCTATGAAGATTCCGTTAGCGCCTGAATCAAGCAGTGCGCTGGTTGGGTGTACTGTGCCCCGGGCAAGGTTTTCCACACCAACGTCTAGGCGGATCTCCTTTTGGAATAAATAATAAATATGTGTGCATCAACACACGCCTTGGGATTTCGGGAAAGGGTGGCTCCAATGAAGAAGAAAAGGTATTGAAAGTTACATGTTTTTCTATTTTATTTTTACCAGAATCAAGCACCCTAGTGTTTGTCTCGCCGGG